TATCCTGAAGATGCTGCGACTGGTTTCGAATTTGTAGTCTTTATTGAAAGTTCTATTGAACAGCCTCTCGGTAGCAGGGACATGATGTACCTGAGTGGTTGTCTATCTAGATTTGTAAAGGGCATAAAATACTTAAAAAAAATCAATCGTTTTAAAATTGGCGTAGTTTTTGATCGACCAAATTTAGCAAATGCATTTATGGATAATTCCACATTTTTGAGGGAACAGTCCATCAAAGCTTCAATTCCTGCAGGATGTACCGAATTATCTGGAGTTATTACATCCGTACCCATAGATATGTCCAATAAAAAAATTTATAAAGCATTGTCCAGCTCAAAGAAAATTATTTGTGTCAGACGTATAATGCGTAAAAATAAAACTAGCAGTAACAGTTTCGAATTACAACCCACTCAAACTGTTGTAATAACATTTGCGGCAACATGCCTACCAGATTATGTACATATTAAAATGTGGCGCCTTCCAGTAATTCCATACATCCCTCCAGTAAAGCAATGTTTTCGTTGTCTTAAATATGATCACCTAGCAAAATTCTGTAAAAATGCTCAAAGATGCTCTATTTGTACAGAGGGTCACTCTTTTAAGGAATGTACAGTTCCAGTAGATAAAGCAATATGTATACATTGTAAGGGTAACCATTTAGCGATATCAGGACAGTGCCCAATCAAATTAAAGAAAATTTATGAAAATAAAAACAAAACTGTAAATAAATACTCAGATGCATTAAAATCAAATAATTTTCCATCTTTAAATAAAACAGAAAATACTCATGACATAATGGAATTAGTTTTAAAAAATAGTTCTGCATTAAATCTCATCACTGAAGCAATTGTCAAAGTAATCACATTGAACAAAACAGAAAATGCTAGTATTAGTTCTCAATCAATAAGTAGTGCAATAAAAGAAACTCTATTAAATAAAAATAATTCCCCTCCACATTCCTGAATTGTGTTAATATTGTACAGTGGAATGCACAAAGTTTGCTAAATAATAAACTTGAGTTCCAAAAGTTTCTTTATGATAATAATATACACATAGCTCTAATATCGGAAACTTGGCTCAAACCCAATATAAAAATTGAAATACGCGGATATAACATAATCAGAAATGATTGTGGAAATGATCACAATGGCGTAGCCATCGTCATTAAAAATGGTATAAATTTTCAACAGCTACAAACTTTCTATGATGATACTTTGCAAAATATTTCAATCAAAATAAAAATAAAAAATAAATTTATTTCGATTATAAGTTTTTACAGTCCTGGTAGTGCTAATTTTTCAAAACACAAATTTGATTCTCTCTTGCATAGTGTTCCAAAGCCGTTGATTATAGCTGGTGACTTTAATGCTCATCATACTTTCTGGGGTTGTTCTAGTACTGATTCTCGAGGCAGAGACATCATGGATTCCTTGGATGAGAATGGTTTAGTACTCTTAAACAACGGGATGCCAACAACAGTAGGTTCTCACATCTGGAGGCCCAACGGCCTAGATCTCACTATGGTCTCTTCGTGCTTAGTTTTGTCTTGTGAGTGGTCAATACATAATGATTCCTTAGGCAGTTATCATCTGCCGACTATAACAAAATATTCTCTTGACATTAGTGATGGTGTGTCCTTTGTTGAGTCTTCGAACATTCCTCCACATATTAATCTGAAACTAGTAAATTGGAATTTATATAAAAAATACATAAATGATAACTTGATAAATTTCCAAATCAATAACTCAAACATATTGGAATCATATAATAATTTCTGTTCAATTATTAATAAAGTAGCTCAGGACTCAATAACTAGTATAAATAATAGTAAACATAATAAGGTGGGTCACTTGTCAGGGTTTAAAAAAAGAACACTTCCTTGGTGGAATGATAATTGTGCTAAAGTGGTTCAAAATTGCAAAAAGGCTTATATACTGTTTAAATCTAGTCCTTCTTTATGTAACTATATTAACTTCAAAAAGGCGCAAGCCCTAAAAAAACGCACTTTACGTCAGGAGCGCTGTCAGTCTTGGCTTGAATTTTGTACCTCTGTTAATAGATTAACACCGATGAGTCAAGTGTGGACTCAAATGAGAAAATTAAAAGGTTCTACCTCTAATACCACATTGTTTTCCAATTATGAATGGAGTTCTGATTTTTTATACAAATATACACCAGATACTGTCCAAAATGATAGCAATCTTCTGCCAGACACCCAAGTTAATAATACTAACTCTTACATGATAGAACCATTTTCACTTCAAGAATTAAAATCTGCTTTAAATTCTAGGAAGGAAACTGCTTGTGGATTAGATTGGTTGTCATATAAAATGTTCAAACTGTTGAATGATACCAGTCTCGAAATTTTTTTAAATATTTTAAACTTGTTTTGGTCTCTGTCTATTATACCAGAAGAATGGAAGACAGATTGTTTGGTTCCAATATTAAAAAAAGGGAAGGATTCTAATTCTGCTCACTCATATCGCCCTGTCACACTCAGCTCTTGTGTAGGTAAAATTTTTGAGCAGTTAATAAAACAAAGACTGACATTCCATATAGAAAACAATTATATCTTACCATCTAACCAATTTGGCTTCCGATGTGGCCGTTCTGCTCGGGAGAGTCTAAGCCATTTGTGTCTGGACATCCATGATACTCTGTCTCAGAATAAAATTATGGCATGTGTCTTCTTCGATATTGTAGGGGCTTTTAATAATGTTGATTTAGGTGTTTTATATTCAGTTTTGTTATCATTAAATATACCTGCAAAAATAGTAAATTGGATTTACAAATTTTTAAATGGCCGTAAGATATTTGTGAAAATCAATAAACAGTTAATTGGTCCAAGATATTCCTATAAAGGAGTGTCTCAAGGTGGGATATTAAGTCCCTTGTTGTTTATTTTATACATCCATCAATTAAATATTGTTTTAGGTAATAATGTTTCTAACCTACAATTCGCTGATGACTTGGTAGTCTATTGTTCAGGTTTGAATAAGCTGGATATCCAAAATAAACTTAATACTGCCCTAAAAAGCCTACAAAAATATTTTCAAAATCTCAATCTAGATGTGAACAATGAAAAAAGTAAGGTAGTCATATTTTCAAAAAAAGCTGTAAAACCTAATTCAATTAAAATATACTATAACAATGAAACAATGCCTATAGATAATACAGTTAAATTCTTAGGTGTTACATTTTGTAGCAATTTTAAATGGAACAGGTATGTTGATTATTTAGCAAACAGAGCTCTCAAAGCTTGCAATATTTTAAAATCTTTAGCTGGAGTATATTGGGGTGCTGATCCAGCTACACTGTTAGTTCTGTACAAGTCTTTGGTTAGGAGTCATTTTGAATATGGTTTTCTATGTTATAAACAGGCAACTAATTTGGTAGAGAAATTAGAAAAAACTCAAAATAAATGTTTAAGGATCATTACAGGTGCCATGAGATCAACACCAATCATCTCTTTACAGGTAGAATGCAACATACCTCCTTTATCACTAAGGTTCAAATATCTTCAAGCAAAATTCTTTCTCAGTATTTTTTCAATCAGTGATCACCCTCTTGTTTCTAAGCTAAGACATGCTGCCAGCAAAGCTGATGTCGGTTCAACCTCATTAATCCAGGGTTTTACTGAAAATGTACAGTTTTTTCATGATAATAATTTGTTTTCTAGTATTATTTGGCCTTGCTATTTAGGAAATTACAATTCAAAATTTTGTAAAGTTAGTATAGTTATAAATGAACAAAAATGTAAACAAGATGTATATAGACAGTTAGATAAGTGGAGGGATTACAATCATTTATACACAGATGGCTCTAAAAACAATAATGCTGTATCCTTTTCTGTGTATAATAAACAAACTCGAAGTGGGTTTGGACATAGGTTAAATGATATGGCTAGCATTTACACAGCAGAATCTCTTGCTATTTTATTTGCTCTGGAATATATTGCAAGTCAGCAGGGAAAGAAATGGTTAATAATTACAGACTGCATGAGTATATTAAAATCACTTCAAAACCCTAAGTGTATTTCAAAAACTAGTTACATAACTCACAACATTCGTAAGCAATATTCTTCTTTGTCTCATTCTAAAGAAATCACTTTTTTCTGGACTCCGTCTCACATAGGTGTGTTTGGAAATGAACAAGCAGATTACCTGGCTAAATCAATTGTTGATCATTATGAAAGTGTCCCAATTTTAAATTTTCCAATTCCTGCTTCTGATGCTTTATCTCATGTTAAATCCTCAGCTGTCAAGGAATTTTATGACGAATGGCAACAAATTGTTCAAAACAAAGGAAAGTGGTTGGCAGAGATTAAAACCAAGATTTCTCCTCCATGGTTCTATGGAGGAATCTTTCGAAACAGAAAATTCTACACCACTATTTGCCGATTACGCTTAGGTCATTGTCGTTTTGGTGCCCACTTGTTTCGCCTTGGAGTCTTATCTTCATCAACATGTGAATTTTGCAACCTTGCTGAACAAACTCTTGATCATTTAATTTTCAGTTGTCGTTCTTTTAGTCTCCAACGTATAATTCTTATAGACAGTCTTCTGTGTATATATAAAAAAGCTGATGACATCCCGCGTTCGCTTCAGCAACTTCTGAAGAAAAAGGAGTGCTTTGTATATATTTACGAATATGTAACCTCAACCATTGGGGAAATCTAACGTTGTTTTTTTCTATGTCAATTTAATTTTGTTTATTTTCAATTTCCTTCGTTTGTATATTTCGCTTGTTAATTTGTAAATAAGATGTAACCACATAAAACTTAAAAAGACTTGGCTTCGGCCTTTTGACTTAGACTGAGAATACAAATTTCTATTAAAAAAGACTTGGCTGTGGCCGTTGAATAAGAATATTAATGAATATAATTACAAATGACAAGGCTGTATGGGCTAAGCACCCTTTGCCTTCCCCTTCCCCTGTAGGAATGGGAAAATTTGAACCAAAAAAAAAAATGTCAATGTCATATTGACATAAACATGTGCATGTGCATTTCTTGTGAATCGTGTGATAATTCTGGATTTAGGTTAGAATAATACTATATACCAATAAATATGGGAAAGAAAACAAAAGTAGGAAAGCAACGTAAAGATAAATATTATCAACTAGCTAAAGAGACTGGTAGGTGTCATACAGGCTAATTACTATCGTAATTTTGATTTCACTATCTACATTTTAGTTTTCCTTATTTTCAGGCTATCGTTCAAGAGCAGCCTTTAAATTAATCCAACTTAACAGAAAGTTCGGGTTTTTGCAAAGGTCACGAGTATGTATCGATCTTTGTGCAGCTCCGGGCGGGTGGATGCAGGTGGCGCATCAGAATATGCCTGTCTCCAGTATTGTGATTGGTGTTGATTTGTTCCCAATAAAGCCAGTCCCTGGTTGTATAGGCCTTACTGAAGATATTACTACTGATAAGTGTAAAACAGCTATTAAAAAAGAGATCAAAACATGGAAAGCAGATGTCGTACTCCATGATGGTGCCCCTAACGTTGGTCTTAACTGGCTTCATGATGCATACCAACAAGCATGTCTTACATTGAGCGCTTTGAAGCTCTCCACGTTTTTCTTGAGAGAGGGTGGCTGGTTTGTTACAAAAGTTTTTCGATCTAAAGATTACCATGCTTTGTTGTGGGTATTGAAGCAATTTTTCAAAAAAGTACATGCTACCAAACCACAAGCTTCCCGAAATGAGTCTTCTGAAATTTTCGTGGTTTGTCAGGGTTATGTAGCACCTGATTCAATTGATCCTAAGCTTCTAGACCCTAAATATGTCTTTGAAGATTTAGAAATAGCTAAAAAATCAAACGCCAATATATTGCATCCTGAGAAACAGAAAAAAGCGAAAGCTGAAGGATATAAAGAAAATGATTACACTACTCATCATAAAGTTTTGTTTTCACAATTCTTGACTGCAGATGATCCTATTGATTTACTGCAAGGTTGCTCTGAGGTATGTTCCATTACTAGTATTATACTATTTGAATATCATGTAATATTAAGCAGCCATTTTGATTAGGCAATTAGTTTGGTGCTAGTTATTACTGCAAAATTGATTAATCAAAGGTTTAATCTGATGCAGTTAGTTTAAAACTTTTTGGTGAACTTAGATTTGTGTGGAATCCTGTAATAAAAAGAAAATTTAGTTTTGTGCATACCAATTACTAAAATGTGATTAATATAAATACATATTATCCTTTAACTCTCACTCTTTTAATAGTATGGAAATACTTTTTATTTTCTATTAATTGATTGATTGTAATTAAAATATGATTAATATTTTGAGCAACTCCAACATAGATAACAATCTGATAGATCTGCTAGTATAATAATCTAATATTTCTTGTATTAATAGTTGACAACCTTTCTTATTATTTGTGCGCATTGGCACATTGGTTAGTGTGTTTGGTCTGCAATGCGAAAGTTAAGTAACTTTTACAAAGATCAATCATAGGACAAGTAACAAAAAAAATATATTATGTCATACTACTCTGCTTCAGAAAACATGTTAAGCAGTCTTTCCCGTCTGCATCTGCAGTTAACACCCACCAACCTATACCCTTAATGGTCATGGTCCATTCTCTTTATTCTATTTGATTTGGTTGCATGTTTTTTAAATTTTTCTATCAATTACATCTTGATCTTAATTATTGATATTGTTTTGAAGTTAAGATCTTATATTATAATAATACTCTTATTATATTTTCAGATAGTCCTTGATGATAAATCTGTAGAAAACCACCCGAAAACTACTGAGGAAATCAAAATATGTTGCAAAGATATAAAAGTATTAGGAAGAAAAGACTTGAAGGCATTGTTAGGCTGGCTGAAGCAGATGAAAGAGTGGAAACTTCCAAAGGTAATATAAAATATTGTTTTTGAATTTACCTAAAATATTTGTTCAAGGAGTATTAGTTTTAGCAAATACTTTGCAATGGAATAAAAGACTATTTCTTCACATTTTCTTAGTCTGAAGTACACCAATTACCAGTTAGTTAATAGGAATCGTGTTTGATTCAACTGACAAATATCTCTACTTCTTTATATATATTGCAGCTACTTCTTTGTGCTGAATTCTTCTATAATTTTTAATTAACTTGTAATAATATAGTAATCATTGTTACAATATATCTTCTAAATTGCACAGGATGAAAAGAAAGATAAAGAAGAAAGTGTTTCTCAACAAAGTCAGAGCTCTGAGGAGAAAAAAGAAGATGAGGCAGATGATGTTGATGAGAAAATTGCTGAGCTTCAGGTTGTTATATGATATTTTAAAATAAATTTGATTTCAGTAAAATTTCAATTTTCCATAAACTAAATAAAATTTTCTTTTTCTATTTTTATTAAACCTCTCATTTATTGGTGAAAAAATGTTTTTCAGACAATTACACATTGTTGCTTATATTAATAAATCATAGTATCAAATTTATAGGATGAAGAACGGCGCCTTTCTAAACGCAAAAGAAAACAGTTGAATAAACAGAGACAAAAATTAGCTGAGAAAATGAATCTTAAAATGGTTTTAAAAGGTGATGGTGGTCCTATTCTGGAGAGTAATGATATGTTTCAATTATCTTCTATTAAAAATGCAGAGGTAAGTATACGGGTTTTTAATATTCAAGTAGCAACCACCATGGTAGAGTAGCTCTAATGCTGGTTTCAAGGAGCGCCATCTCTAGGGAAATGACGGGAAATCGAACCCAGAACAGGTTCGATTTCCCGTCAGGTCAATGTGGTAAAAGTTTTAAGATTGTGGATGTATATACTTAATAATACTTTATCTATATATTAATACGTGAAGCAAAAACTTTGGACCCCTTTTTACGAAAATTGCGAGGACAGAGGAGTAAGAAAATTTGGCACATTTATAGTTTATATGAAGGAGAAGTGCAAACGGCTAATATTTTTCAATAATAATGCTAATAAAGTACATTATATCAATAAATAAAACATTACACACACTATTATGCATTTGACACACACAAAAAAACATACATGTACTCTGTGCTTAAATTGTTTCTTTTGACATAGAGTTTGTTTGTTTCTTTTGAATATTGGCTTCGCATGGTTTGTACATTTAGCCAGTGTCAAGTTTTATATGTTTGCCATAGACATCTATTTATATATTTGTGATGTTTACTGTGGTCTTACTGAATGATTTTCGATTTCAGTAATTTCATATTCTTACAGGAAAAATAAGTGATTTTGAGTGATAAGTACAATGCAATGCAATATCTCCTACCTCATTTTTTTTGAATTTCATATAATTTATTTAAAAAAAATAGGAAAATAACAGCATTGGCGAAATCTGTGGTTATAGTAGGTAGTAATATAGTCTTTGCCAATAGAACCTTAATAATGTTTAAACATTATATTTTAATAAATTACCAATGTTAAATAACTTTTAGTTGAAATCTATTATGGTCAAATTTCTACCACTATTTTAATATTAATCTGTACATGCTATTAGTAGACTTCCTTTTCACAGTTTTCTTATTCATGTTGATTTTTCCATATACTTCATGCATGTCAAGAATAGTTTCATATATGATATAATTATTTTAAAATATTGTTATTTTACAGGAATTATCTCGTTTAATTGATCAACCACCTGACATGGTGGTTGATGCAAGTGATGAGTCAGATGACGAATTGAAAATAAAACCAAAATATGCTAAGTATGATGTTGAATCATCAAAATTGGATTCATCAGGTCTTTATTACAAGGACTCTGATAGTGAGCTGGAAATGGAGTCAGATTCAGATGGAGAAAAGGAGAAAGATACCTTGGGTATGATAATATTATATTTATCCTATTGATAACTTTAAAATTTGTGAAAAAAACAATATGGAGCATATCTAGAAATATTTTCTAGTGGGTGGATTCAGTGAAAGCTGTTTTTTTGGAAACAATGATTGTAATGATATTAAAGTTGTGTTAAATATTCTGGGGTAGCCACGAGCCACCCATCTTTCCTCTTTCCTACAGCTGCTATGTATGAAATACGAAATGAAATATATAGCAGTAATATGTATGAAATACATAGCAGCTGTTATGCTTTCTTGGTGTAATTATACAATGTATTTAAAAAATTTTTTTTTCTGTTTTAGCATTTTCAGATACAGAAAATGAGAATAAAAAAATAGATAAAATTACTAAGATGAATACAATAAGGAACAGTAAGATTAATAAAGTACCATCAATTCCTAAAAACAATCCACTGTTAACGGACCTGGATGATACCGATCCAGTGTCTAGGCGGTCATTGAAAGCAGATCTCTGGTTCCAGAAAGATTGTTTCAAGGATATTGATGAAGAAGATGATGAGGGGGTTGATTTGGATAAAATTGTAACAAGTTACAAAGAAAAGGGTATGATAAAAATAATTTTGTTTTCTTTATGAGACAGAAGGAACATGGAATAGTATTAGTTATATTCTTAATGAAAAAAAAAACTTAAAATTTTAAACATTAAGAATATTTATCAATATAGCATTGCGAATCCAAAGTTGGTCAAATATAATAGTATTAATAATTTATATTTTCAGGAAAAAAGGTAAGTGAAGAAATTGGTGAATTAAAACAGAAAGAAAATGTCAGCATTAAAAGAAAATTAAATGATGTAGAGAGTTCAGATGACGACTCCTCGGATAGTGACTATGATGTTGAAAACACAATTGCACAAAAATCGCAGAAAGTTGGTGCGAAAACTGAAAAGGAGGAGTTTGAAGTTGTGTCTCAAGACCCAGGTAATGTTTAGTAAACTATTTTCTATGTATTTCCACTTCCACTTTGGTATTTAAAGGAGTATGGCTTATAGTAGCTCGGTGACGTAGTGGATAAGCTCCGCCGCCCGCGATCGTTATTGCTAAGCAATTTTGCAAGGGTTGGTCACAGGATCGGTGATCAAATTATCCCGGCTGCATTTGCAATCGTTAACCTTCCAATTCACTTTGGGCCAACGTGGAGGGTTATGGCCCATCCTTTTTAACTAACCATAAGCAAGACCTGAGCCCAAGGGTTCAAATTCTACATACTATTTGTAGAGCATTTACGTAAATAAATATAAAATGCTGATTATGATAAACTTGATTTTCTAAGTTTGAATCACTACGCGTTTTTTTATTTTGTTCTTGATCCATAATCATACTCTAGACTAACAGTAAATGTTACATGTTTTAGATTTGAAAAAATTAAAGAAGTCACTAAAAATGGATGCCGAAACCTTAGCTCTTGGAACAATGATAGCCACATCGAAAAAGTTCAAGAGGGATCTGATTGATGACGCTTGGAATCGGTACGCGTTCAACGATAATAATCTACCTGATTGGTTCGTGGAAGACGAGAAGAAACACATGAAGAGACCTATTGCTATACCACAAGTAATTATTTTAATATTATGTGAATAGATCCTTGTATGTTAAGTCTTTAAATATTGTTAAAAAGACACTGCTATTGAAAACTAAAATAAGTTTAAAATGACTGAATCCATAAACTCAAGTGTGTATCGAAGTGTTTTTCTGTCTGTGTTTGAACTAGAAAAATCTCATAAACATTGATGTATATTAGCCGTTTATTTCGATTTGTCTGCTACCACTCTCCCTACTTCATCAAACAGACCCGAGTACCGCTAGCAACGCCATCGCGTAAATTGTTTGCTATTATTGTTTCCATTTTTTCGTTGGTTTTTAATGTTTTAATATAGTTATATTGTAAAGTTTCATTATCATTACGTAAATAACATCATCTCTTACCTCGTATTTAACTGCTGGAAAGTTAAGTTGCGTAAAAAATATAATTATATTTTTTTGTCGACGGTACCAGTTGATGTAATTCAATTGCGGTCGTCGGCGGTCAATTCGAAGCAATCAGTTGGTAAAGTTTATCTATACATATGAACGGTCTATTAATTTATAATTTTATTTTATAGAAATATACAGAAGAATACGAAAAGAGACTACAAGATATTAATGTAAGACCAATCAAGAAAGTAATCGAAGCTAAAGCTAGAAAGAAGAAGCGTATGATCAAGAGGATGGAACGAGCTAAGAAGAAGGTAGAAGCAGTCATGGAAAATGCGGACATGTCGGAGCGTGAGAAGGCGCAGCAAGTAAGCAAGTTGTACAAAAAGGCACAAAGTGACGGCAAGAAGAAGGTTACTTATGTAGTGGCTAAAAAGCATACCACGGCAAAGCGTATGAAGAGGCCAACTGGCGTTAAAGGACAGTACAAAGTTGTTGATCCTCGAATGAAGAAGGATTTACGCGCGCAGAAAGCGAAAGAAAAAACAAAAGGCCGTGGCAAGAAAACCAAGTTTAATAAAAACAAACCTGGGAAAACGGCGAAATTAAGTAAAAAGAAAGGTTCTAAAGCTAAATAGTTTCGTTGCTAAACTAAATCATTATTTTGTACATAATTCCGTATATAATTGTTTTTATACATTTTGAATACATTGGTGTATTAAATATGTTTACACTTGTTTTTTTTAATAAATCTATAAACACTCGCTTAGTTTAATATTATTTATGAGACTTGTTACAATCGCGGGTTGTTGTTAATCCTAAAAAATATTAAACATCTTAAAAATATGCCAACATATAAAGCGGAAATATTTGATCGTTTGTTATTGATCCGGAAGTACTGGACCGATTTAAAAAAACGCGGACGAAAACATCTATGGATGCTACGTTTTCGCGGATGATATAAGTTATAACTTATGTGGGCAAAGTCGCGGGAAAACAGCTAGTTTAATAGAAATTGGGTCATCGGTGAATATACTGGAACATAGCTACTTACATAAAAAATATGCATACCCGTTGAAAATAAAATTGAAAATCCCATTGAAAATTCTCTCTGGTTTTGAATAAATGAATGCAAAAGAGCTGCATCCTCCCTAGAGTTTCTAAAAGAGTTGCCTAATGTAAAGCAACCAAAGTCCTAAGTCTTTGACTTCACTGAAACTCGTATGAACATAATTAAAGCGGGAAAAGGGGATTGGTTTAAAACCCGCAAATTATTTTTTTACAATTTTTCTAATAAATGTATAACTTATTGACAAGTTTTATTTATTTTACTAATTCTTCTAAAAATTGCTTTATATTTTGTGGGTCTGTGTCATTGCTATTTTTTTTAAATAGGAATCAAGCAACTAAGAAAATCGTCGCCTAGAACATGCATTTAAAAAGTTTAGATAGAGATTGGTAACGGCGCCAGTAACAGGCTAACATCAAGAGACGCGTGCTAGAATTTGTTGTCACATTTTGTTTGCCCAATTGCAACTTTCCAGTTTATTATCTCTTTTTCCAAGGTGAAACGCAAATTTTGGAGGTGTCTAAATTATGAAAAAAAAAATCGGGCACTTGCCCGGGCGCCAGTGTTAGGGGGGTCGGGGATTGGTGTATAGGAAGGGCGTCATACGAAGTTTCTGGCTCGATTTAAAAAAATCGTGGATCAGGGCTTGGCAACGCAGACCAAACGCGCTAACCACTGTGCCATTGAGCATGGCAAATTATTAAATAGGTCCTACATATGAAAAAAGAAAAGTTTTGTAAATGCACATTATTAAAATTGTACGTTTATATTCTACAAATAAATAAAAAAGAAACCCTAAGTTATTTAAGATTACTTATTTAATATTTTTTTAATACTTTTTTATAAAAAAAAATCTTAAGTAAGTAATATAATTTAGCCACTGTCTGAAGAAAATATTCAATGGAAAATATCATATTATTCAGAAAAAAGATGGCAACAAAATTGGAAGAAACTGAAGATAATTATAAAAAGAATGGCAAAGAAATATGTCAAAGAAAGAAGGATGAAAAATTTCCGATGACTTTCCTAATATTGTGTGTTAAGGATAAAAATATATTAGGTAACTATTGTTCTAGTAAGGTCATGGTGATATTTGAAGCCACGTGCGTCACTCGCGGCTAACTAACAGAGTTCAGGGACAGGCACGCCATACAAATGATATCACTCCGCACCGCGATGACCTTGGTGTCTAATTCTGATTCGTTCTAAACTACGCCACATGCCTACTAAGTTTTAATAAATATCGTATTTCGCTAATATTTTTGTTTAAATCCAAGGATTATGATACATTGCTTAAATGCTAACCAGACGAAATAAGACTAAAGGTTAACTACGCCGCATCTGAAGGTGAGTACTCGGCCAGAATATTCAGAGAGCATCATGAGGAAGTGTGTCTGGTGTGAGTGAGGAGTTGTGGGGTAGTGGTGGGAGGGAGGCAGGGCGGTGGCCGGGCTATATCGAGCGTGCGATCACGGCCAAGGCCGCGTACCGCCGGCCGTCATCGCACCCGACCCGACCGCCCATGCCCCGTGACAGCGGCCATAACACTATATATGCATATATGTATAATAGCTTGATGCGCAATCGTCGATACTATTATTATAAAGAGGAATTGATTGTTTGTTTGCACCGAATAGACTCCGAAACTAATGGACCGATTTAAAAAATTCCTTCATCTACTGGAAAGCTATAACGTAGGCTATAATTTATGTGGACCAAGTCGCGGCAAAACGTCTAGTTGAACATAATGGCTTAACAAATCCTTTAGGGTGAGCTCTGTAAGCTGATTGATATACGTAACCTTGTTTTATGGTTATAAGAAATATGTGTTTGCTGTATCGTCAGTCGATAATAAGGTTCTTATATAAATATTATTTCATATATGTAATTATTGTGACATAGCTAGGCGTCTTTTAAGATTTTAATATATTTTTTAAGAAAATTGTGGAAGATATTCAAATTAAATATGTTAAAACTGCTTAAGACGAGGTTTTACTAGCGTTTTGCAAAATCAGTGTCCGGGCGACGATTTTAGAGAACTAAGGGATTTAGTTTCACATTGCATTATGATGTAGCTCTATGTAACTCATGTAATTTTTAAGGTTTTATCATCGTCAGCCTCTTAATGATCCCATTGCCGTTGCACGACGCGTCTTCCCTAAGAGTGGAATCGAATTAATAAGAACTAGATCCAATGCAGATAGGTGGACGGTTACGATTACTGATGCTGCTGGGACCAATGAACTAGCTGGCTTAATGTGCCTTCTGAAGCACGGAGTATGGAAGAGGACGAGATAATACATTTTTGGTCACCCATCCTATAAATAAATATTAGACAATATCAAATACATTGCACAGATTAAAGATATAATACAGTGAAAATAATACAAGGGTATTGTGGAGTATGACACAACGAAGGTACCACACCCAGATCCGAGATAATATAGGAAAGTCCTACATTGACTAGACCGGGATTTTGACTTCAGAGACGGCGATAGCTTGAATCGGCGTACGAACCACTTGGCAACGGAGGTCGGAGGTCTTTAAACAGCCCATGTGAAAGATGTATAATCCCCGCATCGCAGACCAGCAGAGCGAATTCCTAACTCCTAGTTTAATTCTAGTCATAGGTTTCCAAATAGTCATTTATCCCAAATTTATCCACCAAAAGAAGTGTCAAAATATCATATCCTATGGCTAGAAAGTTACGCTGTCGCACTCCATTATGCCATCGTGCTACTCAAAAAGGTTCCAAATATATAATCAATTACTAAACATTTTTTTGATTCGTGAGAAAAAACCATCGAAGTAAATTTTTAGTTTAGGCTTTTATCACTAAATATACATAGCTGATATTTGTCAAATAAAAATCATTTTATGAAAATTAAATGTAAGTAATAATAGTTAATTAAATTTAAGTAATAATAAAACTGCGACAAGTGGTTTTGGAAGTCCTCGCGTGATGTTAACCTGACACCAACATAATTCTGAAGAGACCGAAAAGGTGGAAATCTGTTGGTCAGGCCTCTACGGCGGATGCATTTACAACTCCCAGCCAATCTCTCTTAATTTTTGCTGAGTGAAACCACATCCATTCTATTGGTTATTTCTGGCCGCATTCTCTCAATTTCTTGTTTTATCTCATCAGTTGTTTGCAGTAGAGTTCGGAATCGATGGTTCGGCCTGGCGGTAACAGCTCATAATGAATGATGTCCAAAAACGTCACTTTTTTTGGTAATAAAATTTTAAAATGTATCAAATTTCTTGATTTGAATTAGGAGTTATCTTCTTTAAAATTTAAACTTTTTAACTATATCGAAATCAGCCAGATAAAAATGGTATAGTATAGCCAGAAAGATTTTATTACAAGTTTATGCTATATGCGAAAAGACCTTTCCCCAATCGATTGCTAAAACGGAAACATAATTTTAATAATTGGCTCGATAGAAAAAAAAATTCAGAGACGATACTTAATAGGTAATTTTTTTATTTATTTAATACATCAAGGAAATTATTTAACACGATAAATATACTGAGCTATACCCTTTACTATTCAGGTAAGACTAAGGTGTCGATTGTCTTTTTTACAATCCACACCTTAGTCTTAAGTGATCACGGAATCTCTAAACGGTCAGAAACGCCATGAAAGCAAATACAAACGCGCTGAAACCGTTTAAAGTTGTTTCATTTAATAAATAGTGCGCGTGAAAATATAAGAAATCAGAATCTAAATATTTTTTTTAAGGATTTTACGACTAATATATTTTATCGTAACTACTTATATAAAGAATTAATACAAAAATAGGTTTTTATTTAATATAAAATGGCCAAAAATTTTGTTTTTCATAACTGCCCTTGTTTTTTCTTTGACGAAAAGATATGAAATTAAGAGAGTGTGTCTTTACTCTCGATGCCTATTACTATTACGCTCAGTCATTGTACCTCATGTGTTCTAAGTTTTGAAACATACTTTTTAATGAAAATAAAATATAATGTTACATCCCCTGCTGTTGTTCACTGTGTTTTTACCGATTTTCATAGAAAATGAATGAATTTGCGATACAAATAAATGGAACGAAACAATTACGTGCAACTGTCATTTCGCTATTTAAGGCGGAAAAAAACTGATGCAGATTTTCCGCGAGCTGAAAAGTTTTCCTGTAAGCTGTAATTTGATCTATTACATAATACAGCGGTACAAACAGACAAGTTCTCTGCAAGATCGCCAAAGGAGTAGTCGGCAACACTATGCGAGGACTCCTGCAAGGAGTAGCAAAGATGTCCCAACTTCTACACGGAATGTCTCGCGCACTAATTATTTAGCTAGTGTGATGGTATGGTGGGGAGTTTCGTATGAAGGTGTCATTCCGTTCCATTTCTGCCAACAAAGTGTCAATCCAAGAATTATCAGAGTGACATTTTAGAGCCCGTGGTGAAACCTCTGTCTGATACGTTATTTCACAATAAGGATTGGGTTTTTTCAGCGAGACTCGGCGCCATCCCACAAGGCAAAAAGCATTCAAGCTTGGTTGAGGGAGAATGTGCCGGCCTTCATCGCGGCAGATGGGTTTTCGCCCTTCTACAGCCCCGACCTCAACCCGCTGGATTATTCTTTATGGACTGAATTAGAGCTCAGAGCCTGCCGAAAGTCCCATCCAAACTTGGAGTCACTGAAGCGAACCCTTGTTCGAGAAG